CTTCCTTCCTTCCTTCCTTCCTTCCTTCCTTCCTTCCTTCCTTCCTTCCAGTACTGTTTCTTATTCTTTCCTATCTTTCCCACAGAGGATAAAGTAAGCAGCTAATGTAATGCAGACATATGTAAGTGACAGGAGGCTTTGTGAATCAGTTGGGAAAAACACAGGTTTGCCAAATTCATAAAATTAACAATTTCATTTGGAACGCTTCTCATGGGCTGACAGCATTGGAGTAATTTACTACTGTAGTTGCAGTGGCAGAACTTCTGAATTAATGCAAAACAGTGCCTACCCCCTCCCCCCCAAAAAAGATAACAGGATGAGGGCCACGTGTCTGGTTGTTTCACCATATTAATTTCATAGTATTTCGAACATAAGCATTTACAAGAGGAAAACATGATTTATGTGATGTGAGATAGATTTGATCTGAAAAAATAAGAAGGGATTGAGAGATGTGTAGAAATAATCTGATACATACTGATATTTTCTTATTTTTATTTCTGCAAATGATTCATTAGGAAAATTTATAGCGTATTTGGTATGTGGGGGGGGGAATAGCACTTGGTTTTGAATCTGTGCTATTCAATTGGTGTAGTCAGGACATGTGAAGTAGCATAAATCTGCAAGATGTTTAATGAATATCCATCTTTAGTGAGAAGGTAGTTAATATAAATATTTGAACATCCGGGCCAGGTGCTAGATAGATGCTTTTTTTTTTCTTAAAGAGAAATTGTATTGAACTCTTATTTAGCAGAATACTAAAAACCTATATTTCTACTGATAAACTTTTTTGTATTATTTAATTTGGAGATGCTAATTGCAGAATATCATTAAAATCTTGGTGCTAATTCTCAATGATTGGAGCCACATAGCAAAGGTCTGCTTGTTTGTGACATTCATATTGTCTGATTGTAGGTCTGTAGCTGATAAATAATGAAAAATTAGTGAAAATCCAATTAATTCTCCTTTATAGGTACTTAAAAAAACCCACTGCTATAGAAATTGAATAAACACACTTAAGCAATCATTACCAATCATGTTGTGTGGTTACTGATTGCCCAATAGGCCCCCAGTGTCATGATAATATATTTGTCTTAAATATCTTCATTACAGAGCAATATCCATTTTTCAATGTGATCATTTTAATTCATATTATGGTAGAGCAGTTCCAAAGAATGAATCACACTGTAATTGATTCTAGAACTAACTCAGTTATGTCGAAATTTCCACCATGTTCATTTTTTCTTTTTGTGAATTATCCCTGGCTTGAAGAAATACAGGCAGCTGTCTCATTTGAGTATGGACCAGAAGTATTTTTCCAGTTGATTGATTACCCATCTTTTTTTTCAAAGCAGCATAGATAGCACTCTTGTACAATTTTATATGCAAGAGACACTGTGAACTCGGGTAGCCTTAGAGATATAGTAGCTGGCCCAAAAATACAAAGTGGGTTTCTCTGGCTAAGGTGGATTTGAAGCTGGATCTCTCCACTTCTAGAACCTTAAATAGTTCACTGTTCTGACCCCCCTTCTTCACTCGTTCACAGACGACAGTCAGACAGACTTAAAAGGAAATAACTTTATCAGACCTGGCTCACTCTGGCCGCGAGCCCAAAATAAACATAAATAAAATCTTTGGCAAAAAGATTACACAGCAGAATGCAAAAACAAAGAGCTAATTACAGCAACACCAGGTTTACAGAAAGAAAGCAAATCACTTCTCCAAGTGTCTCTTTGAATCAGGCTTACAGAAAGCAAATCACTTATCCAAGTGCCTCTCACAAACAAACCACGACCGATGAACGACGAACCACGAACGAACAAATGAACGTTAACTCCGCAAACCAGGGCGTGGCACCATCAGTCCTTTTATCTCCAGAAGACCACACTAACGAGCCCCAGCTGCATTGTTATTCCTGCATCCCGACTCAACTCACAGCAAACTTCTGCTGAGTCACAACAGTTCACCATAATCAATCTCATTTCATGTTATCTACCCTGAATGGTAGCATCATTCAGGATTTCGAACACTGCTGTAGAGAGTAAGGAAGGTGACCTTGATGCGGATGGGAAACCCTTAGCAAAAGGAACTGAAGCATTTTAAAACTCAGAATAACAGAGACAACATCTGGAAACAACTCAGGCAGACACCTCCCTAATTCACTGCTGTATAAAAAGGGAGGAGGAGGGGCAGCAGAAGCAGACTTGCAAGATTTTCCTTTTATAGAAATTCTCTGTCAAACACTTTTAACTTCCACATGGAATTGATGTCCTGGATTGAGGACTATCTACGGAGTTATCTACCTACTGAGTTGGCAGCTGCTGACGTAAATGTGTTTCAGCAATTGCTAGTACCGATTGTGGCAAGCAAAATCTGAAGTCCCTTGTAACACAAATCACGTCGTCTGTTGTCCTGATGATGCAAATCATGATTGCAATTTCCAGTATGTTTTGATTGAGAGAAATCCAAGCTACCCTGGGTCTAAATGAGAAATCCTTCCTCATCTTATGGCAGGCAGAGCTATAGACCCACCTCCCACACTCATGATACTTTTGACTCTATTAACTAATTTGGGAGGGAGGGAAGAAGTCTTATTTTTAAACTATTTTTGAGATTTTTCAAAAGACCAGCCAAACCACAAGTCATATTTTAAAACACTAATAAAACGAACTGAAATATAAGCTTAGCACGATTTTTTAAAACATTTCTTGTGTTATGAAGAATTTTCATGTAGGAAAATTAATTCATTTAGGAGAATTAATTCAATGATGAACATACCTCAATATGCCCAAGTTATACCTTTGCTCTGTGTTTCTGGTGGTTTAGGTTGTCATCTATAAAGCCTTCATGGCATGGAATATTTGGGCCACTCTGCCCAGCTCTTCCAAACTGCCAATTCTACTTCCTTTCAATTAAAGACTAATGAAGAATGCCATCTTATGAAACCTTGGAAGCCCACCTTTTGTGATTCAGTGGCTGTCCTCTGAAACATCACCTGCCTGAGACCAGAGGGCCCTTGGCCCTCTCTGAGCCTTGGGTAAAGCACTAAAGTCCAGGATGGAGATCAGATTTCCCTTTGAGAAGTTTGTGCTACTGCCTTGTTGGGTTAATTCTTGGCAATCATTCTTCTTTTTAAATTCTGTGACATTTGTGTTATGTTGTTTTAATGTGCTTTTAGTTCCCCAGCGTTGTATTCACGAGGTGGGCAGGCGTATTATTTGAGCTCATAAAATGTGTAAATACATTTGTTTTATAGTGGTGGATTATTTCAAGGCTGTGTTTGGGACGATTAAGATGAGTTTGCCTTGTAATTATAATCATAATTAATGTTATTTCATTTTTTTCCCCTTCTAGGGATCTTTCCAATAATAGAATTGGTTGTTTAACACCTGAAATATTTGTGGGTCTTAAAAACCTTCATAAATTGTGAGTATGGTAATAACTTTCACACATTGTTAAAATAGCATAAATGATACACAAGTAACAGGGCAAAATAGTTTGGTTGAATCTATACCTTGATTGGTTCCAGTATTACAGGGTTACACGCTGGGTCTCAGGTCCCCCTGAGCTACTCAGAATGTTCTACTGTGCCCCACACCCTTTGAACCAGGAGACGTAACGCAATGTTAGTTGTTAAGTGGAAACCAGCACAATGGGGGGGGGTTCTTCTTCTTCTTCTTTGAGTTCCTTGAATTATCACCTTGAAAAATAATATTTAGGGGGTGAATGTTGCCTCCCATCGTTCCCCATCTTATCTTTCTCCATTAATGGGGGGGGGGAAGGGTCCCCCTCCCCGAGACAATTGAACTCGGGCCAAAGGATGCTGGTTCTTCTTTTGAGGAAATAGACAAATTGTGTGCCTTGATCTTCTTTGTTCATGAAATCCTCTATTGACAATAAGCTTGTTCTGGGATTCCTTTCATGAACAGAAGGGGCCTTCGGGATTGATGTTAGATGCCTCTGGAGATTTCAGTTATCCAGCTCATGGGTGTCCCAAATGTATACTCTGGGACAATTTGATGGCAGGTTTAATAGCAATAACAATAATAATAATAATTCTGATGCAAAATGAATGCTGAATTAAAGTTTAAAAGTTTTCATAATTTATACTTTCATAAAACTACATATGTTGCGGTTGTTAGATTGTTGCTATGGTTTGATCCATCTCTTCCCTTCTTGCTGGGTGCCTCTTCCTGTGGTACTGAGCCAAACTGATTTCATATTTTCATTGTCACATTATCTGTAGAGTCCTTCTTATCTCTTCTTCTCCCCCCCCCCATCTGTTTTTAAACTGTTTTAAACATTGGCAATATTCCTGACTTCCTTTGAGGCCAATCACCCCTTGAATGGGTCTTTTTTCAGAGGGAGCAGCCACAGGGCAGAATCTGCTTCAGTGAACTTGCAGGAAGTAGAGACTGTCAGCTCCTCTCCATTAACTAATTAGGAAAGAAAGACCACAAGACTCCATGAGTAGAAATCAAATGTACTTTTACTAATTAGGAATGGTTAAAGGCAAAGCGTAGCGAAGTCTGAATAATTAGGCGCGAAAGCAATTGATATATAGAATAGCCCATTCCCCACCCCTTGGCATCATACTCCCAGTCCAATCATAATTCTCCCAAGTATCAGGTGTGAGATAACTTCAAAAGGCATCACGAAGATGGAATGTCGGTGCCGTTAGTCCTGGCGGGAAACTCCCACGCGTGCGTAGTCCGTTCAGTCGGTGAACTCCAGAACCTTCCTCCAGCACAATGAATAACCCCTCCCAAATACCATGCCCTCCCTCCCCGTTTCATGGCAGCCGAAGCAACAGCAAAGCAGAAGCTGACAGAGACTTTCTCAGTTCTGCTCTTTGAAGGGAGCCATATTTTGATCTGGGGCTTTTCCCATGGAGAATTTACACCTACCAGCAGCACCTTTGCTGATGCATTTTCATCATCACACCTTACGAGAGCAGTCAAATTATTTTCCTTCCAGTGCAAATGCAGTTAGTTTAAATTACCAAGTTTCAATGTTGTAACTTATAATGCTGCAGCATTGGGCTGCTTATGTTGGTTCCAATTGGACTTCAGGGATGCACATACACACTTCCCACTTGTATAGTTCTTTGTCCTGTGTAGGATTTGCCCATTAACTCAACACCAAGGAAACATCTCTAGGTCTCCTACAGTTAGCAGGCTGATCTCTGTGTAGACTCCATCTTTCAGGTACATCTGTATTAGCAATAGCAATAGCAGTTAGACTTATATACCGCTTCATAGAGCTTTCAGCCCTCTCTAAGCGGTTTACAGAGTCAGCATATCGCCCCCAACAATCCGGGTCCTCATTTCATCCACCTCGGAAGGATGGAAGGCTGAGTCAACCCTGAGCCGGTGAGATTTGAACAGCCGAACTGCAGAACTGGCAGTAGCCTGCAGTGCTGCATTTAACCACTGCACCACCTCGGCTCAAGGCTCAAATTGACCCAAGGAAGCCAGAGGATGTTTATATAAAATTTTGTGTCCAATGAAACATGAACATTTCATCAGGCAAACTGATTCCCAAACCCCTGTATTTGTTTGGCTATCTCTGCTAAATTGATTTCTAGGATACTTGCACTTTGGCCCAATATATCATGCAGAGCTCATTAAATCAACCATTCTTCTCACCATGGCTGAGTCCCAGAATTCAAGCCACAAACATCTTTAGTTTTTTTGAGTAAGCTATAGCATGAGTTTAACAATCAGGCTAGTTTTTAGGGCGTTTTTTTTTTTATCTTAAAAGTTTCATAAAAATAATCATAAAATTGAGCAATTCAACTTTGGAGCATTCTTCCTAATCTAAAGGAAGAGGAAAGAGAGTAGGGCATGGGGGATATCTTTAAAATTGATTGTAAAAAGGAGCGTCTTGCTTTCTGTATTTGATGTTCTCATCATTCACCGTACTTCATTGATTTTTCTCATGAAACCAGTTGAGCTCATTTAGCGCTGAAGGTTGATTGTCTTCTGAATATGTTTCTCCTTCAGACATTTAGGATTGGACGTCCTTCTTATTTCCACCCGAACTTCCTATTGGTTTTTAAAAATTCATTGTTATGTATAACAATTTGCATTTGCATTCTTTTTCAACTATGTCCATCAGCATCTGCCCGGGACAGTAGCTGGCTCTCTGGACAGACATTTTGGTTCTGCTTCTAGTCTCTCACGGCAGCCAACTTGCTTTAGGTATTTTAACCTGTTGTTATAGATCAAGTTCTCTGGTTTTTTTCTTTTTCTGACAACTCGGAAACTTGTTTTCCTGAAGAGGGAGAAAAAAAAGTAAGTAAAATAGATCAAGAGGTTATGTCCTTTTGCAGAACTGAACCAAAACAATAAAAATATCATTATTTGTGACATGGTTTCATGCACAATAGTTATCCCTTGAGGGCAGATAATTTACTAATTTACGGGAACTCTTGTCTATCCTGTCTCTCGCCACTTCAATTTCTACAGTAGATTTCCCAAACAATTTATGAGAGTGCCTGCAATTAATCTTCTAGTCAGTTGCTAATCAGGTTCACAATTCCTGTAAAAAGCACTTACCTTGATTTTCTTTATTTATATAAACAACATGCACTAAAATATTGCCTCACTCCACCTATTGATTGCTGGGCTCCAATATGCTATTATTTTCTCCAGCATTAATGAAAATGTTGTGGATAGCAAGGAGGGCTACAATGTACATTTGGGATGGGAGCAAAATTATTTTTATTATTTTTGGTCAGTGGGAGGCAGCATTGATTGCATCATTGTGTTGCCTGGATCTTTTTAATGTTCTGAGGCTAACAGGAGTGAAAATATTTTTATAGCCATCTTCAAAACTCTTCAGATGAACCTGGAAGTGGAAACGGTGTGATGTAAAAGTGCCCAGGGTGTCTTTAAAGAGAGACTTTATGCTGTGGAAGGGACCTAATGAATATTTCTAATGCTTTTAATACTTTGCAAAAGAAAAAGAAAGAAAAACAACGGAAAGGAAGAGAGAGAGAGAAATTTAAAAAAGGAAAAGGAAAAGAGAAAAAAATAAGAGAAATATAAAGGAAAGAAAGAAAATGTTAAGAATTCTCCAGTCCACTAAAAATGGGCGCATACAACCCCTCCCCATTTGAATGTTTTAAAACACAGCACTAAATTCACCAACTGTCACGGTGTCTCCTGAAACAAAAGGAATGTTTTATCATTTATGGTAAGCATGTAAAAAAATTGCAATGAACTAGAATACCATACACTCCTAGATTTACAGAATTAGCCAGTGAACTCATGTTCATTATGACAATGGCATTTTCTACCACCTCCTCTCCATCTTACCCATTTTTGTAACTTAAAACTCTTAGACAATTTCCTTTTATAATAGTTATAGGTATAAATCTAAATTAATTCTTACTACGATTACATAACTTTAATTTTTTTATCTACTCTTTTTTCTAGTCATCAAATTCATATATCCTCTTTTCATTTTTTTTTCCTGTTTCAAACTCCACAAGGAGTTTCCAATCAGCATTAAACTAGCTTGTTCTGCAAATGATCTACACAGAGTAATTTTTCAAAGTGTAATGGGACTCTCTACAATTTATTTGTCTTTGGGGAATTTTTCGCAGTGAATATCAGGTGATGTAGCAGGTTGGCTGTTTTCCTTCAGTAAATGCATGTCAGCCAAATTTGATGGATCTACTAAATCCATAACACAGAGATGCTTTGTAATGCAAATTAAACTTCTTTAAACTTTATTCACTTACTTGACTCAAGTACATCCGATTACTATTTAATCCTGAACATGAATAACCACAAACAGTTAGCGCTATAATATATGGCTGTAATAATGTCACTGGAAAAGGCATCTAATTATGCTCATTGGTGCAAAAAAAAAACCCCAACAACCAGAAGAACTCAGCCATGTAGAAAACCGATGTAGCTCTGCTGAACTATATTCTTTGTAGATGCTTATGTCCTACTGATTCTGATCCATGCATTGCAGAGTTGAGAATTAAATATGGTAATGGCATTTCAGATCCTATTTCTGCCTTGGGTATATTAGAATTAATCAGAATTTATTTATGCCTTGAGATTCATATGGGTTGAGATTAGTACCCATTTTACATATCAATTAGGCCTCCTGAGGCAAAAATGCTGCCATAAGTACGGAGCATTTTAACAGTGTTTATGGAATGCCAGCTCTACTTATTCTCCATATTAAATTGAGACGGAGCCTTGTGGGAGCTTTTTACTGTAGTAATATTTAAAACAGCCATTGATTACCTTCATAAATAGAAAGTGTTGCTTCTAGGAAGTGGATTCAAACAATTCAGCTTACCAATATCGTGAGCAAGGGGAGATTGAATTCCGACTAGATGATATAATAATCCTGATTCCTGGATTGGGATTCTACTTTTTGTGAAACATTGTGTTTATAAC